AATTTTATAGTCTAAATAAAGCGGGCGATTATAAAGTAAGTTTTGTAATGTTTGCATTTTTTCAGAATGTGCTTTTGATCAATGCGTTGAATGCTAAATATTTAATCTAAAATGTTGCATGGGCTATAATTATATGCGTTGAAATTCATTTTCTATCTTGAGAACCATGCAGTTATCTTAAAAATTTGTATATTTATTTCATAGTCTTACAACATAAATTTTTTAAAATGAGCAAAATTATTTGTTTAATGCACATTTTTTTTTGGAGTGCCCACTTGTTTGTAAGGTTGTCATAACTTTCACATAATGAGTTTGATCGTCTTCTTTATGAAGTAGAGTTGATACGATTGAGCCTCACTTAGTTTGATTCTCCTCCTTACAAGGACTGAAGTGACGAGATTGACCAAGAACTAAAAATTTATTTTGAATAATAAAAGTATCTTATTTACACATTTATATATGACATTTAATATCTTCTCCTAAGGAAATTTTTTTTAAAAAACATAAACTCTCAACATAGTATATACAAGTGAAACCCTAAGTCTTAATCCCCAGGCTCAATCTTTATATATAAAGTTTATAGGATCCATAACATAATACATTTTCAAATGAATTCAAATTATATGCAATTTGCAGATTCGATCCTCTGCGAATAAGATGCGGAGTTGACGATGTTTAGAGTAACTAAAAGAAATAATTATATACTCGAATGATGGCTATGTTGATGTTAAATCTCAATCAGGGGGGTGGGCTATTTTCAAAATGTCTCAAATTTGAATATACATTATTTCAAGCTTGAATCAAGATAAAAGTGTAAAATTCAAAATGTTCAAATGAAAATTTATGACCTAAAAGTTTAAAAGCAAAATCCATCCACCCCTTATAGTAGTTCGTCGAGCATAACAAATTTAATGCTAACTTGAGCTCATGAAGTGCGAATGTCAATCATTTATATTTTTATATTCACTATTAAAATAATGTAAGCCAGCAAGGACATGACCCAAGTCTTCTGTCAAAGTTTTGAGAAAAATAGGCTGAATCCTGAGTAGGTTCTATGTCTTTTCCCTTTGCTTTCATCCCCTTAAATAATATTTTTACAATCTATTTTAGGTACAAAATATTCTGCATAATCTATTATTAGGTTACCTAATAATACATATTTGATTTTAAATATTCAGCTAAAAGGGAAATAAATCATAATAAAGACATTGAAAATAATTTAAATAGGGAAGCTCCTAATTATAGAAAACTCCTAATTTAGCTGCCTGATTTTCGTTTTTCCTGATTGACATCCCCCCTCAAATTGATGCTGACTGATTAAGAAGCATCAATTTGCCAACAAGAAAT